TCTTCCGATCTCCCCAAAACCCCAAAACCCCAAGAACTGAATTTAATTTGGAATTCATGAAATTAAGTAATAAATAATCACATTGTCAAAGATTAAATTATATAGTGGCTAAATTTGACTGTGAATTAATCTCAATCAAATTTTGCATTAAAGTTACTAGCAACTGGTTTCTTTTTGCACTTCTCAATAAAGAAGTCTAGATCATTATCCAGTTTTGCAGCTAGCTCTCTTATTTCCTGATTTTAGCTCTTCAAAGCTCTATCCCAGCCTTATGCTGTAAGTATTCTCTCGAACTAGTCAATCATAGCATCAATCTTCTCCATCCTCTTTTCTCTTTCTATGTCTACCTTATCACTCACTATTATACTCTTAGCCTGCATTATCCTCTATAAAAAATATAATAATATACATTACAGGCTTACATCTTAGAAAATTTTGAAAATATTGTTATAAGCACGAATGCCAGTGTTCGAATGCGACTCATACTTAGAGTTAATCAATCTAAGGCAATGAGCTAAGATTGCAGGGGTGTTCTCCATATTAAGCAAATCCAGTTTCGAGTTAACAGCGAAGGTATCCGCAACAAAGTCATTAACTACGCTTAAATCATTTAGCCTATTTAGATTACTCAATACTTATTTCCTTACTATGATAAACAATTAATAGTACTGTTGATGTTTCCCTAACCCCACCACTTTAGCACAGTCTTCAAATTCTTCTATCTCTTGTCAAGGATTCGATCCATGACTTGGCTTTACTTCATAGCCTCTTGTATTAATTCTATATCATTGCCATTGTACTTGACATCTGTAGGCTATAGGAATTTGCCAATGTCAAGATTTAAAGGTTTATCTATTGGTATTTCATATAGACTGGAAAGATTTGTCCTCGATGTCATTCTCATTGGATCAATGCTGTCATTTTTATTGCTATTTTCTTGTCGAGAAGGGAGACGCTTGGTGCTGGCAATAACTGAATTAAAGTCTTCCAAGGAGTCCTAAAACTGATTCTTGATTGTCGACTGTTTCTTTATCTTAGCTAGAGAATCCGAGTCATTTTTACTGATCTAGGGACTTTCATACATATATGTGTTATTATCATCTTAGTTTTTATAGAAATTACTGCCTGTGCCATTTGTGCCTCAACTCATAATATTGAATCCATTCTTAGCCAATACACTAGATTAAGGGCCTTTGCTTGATTGGATGTTCTCGACACTATGCATTACATGAATTGACTCTATTAACTTACTATCTAGTTGACTTCATTTGGTTCTATACACTTTAGTTTAGTTGTGGAGTTTTATCTGGGTTATTTAGATTGGCTTAACTGACTCTCTGTGTTTACTTCAGATTGGCTATAATTTCATTGATAGTAAAACATACAAATGACTTACGTTTGTTGTTGTTATTGTTGTAGAAGTCAAGTTTTTAGTCTATAGAGGGTAATTTGGAATTCATTTCATTTGAAGTCAGACTAGTTACTACTTCATCTTGCAAGTCTGCTGGTCTTAGATTAACTTCCTAGTTTGATATTTGCGATAAAATGACTGAGGAACCAACACTGTTGTACTCAGCAACTATTTAATGATTAAATCAATTGTAATTAGATACCATAGATATATTCTGCACCTTGCTTTATATCATAAATTTGAGATTGAGGCTTCATTATAATATCTATCATTGTAGCTTATTCTATATCCCATACTTTGATGCTGTCACTCATTCCAGCAAGCACTGTAGCTCCATCGTCACTAAACCAAAACTTCTGCACAGGTGTGGTATCGCATGGCGCAGTGGTACATATCTATAGTATATTTTTATTGCAGTAAGCAATACCATATTTCCAATGTCAAGATCCCAGTACCTGAGGAACCTATCACTGTAGCCAGCAACTAGGGACACATCTTTGGGATTAATGGCTATCTAAGTGACACCAGCAATTTGACTGTGTCTTAGTTAATGAATGCATCTTGAGCTCGGGTTTTCCCATATTTTAACATAGGTGTCCTGAGACCCACTGGCTACTATTCTCCCATCAACTGATATATCAACTGAGGTGATTGGCTTTGAGTGAGACTTGCAGGTCATCATGCTCTTTTTAGACCTAAGATCCCAGGTCTTCACGTTAGTGTCTAGAGATCCACTTACTAAGTATGGACCGTTGAACTCCCTCTAAGCTGCAATACACATAACTTGAGATAAATGTTCTTTGAAATTCATCGCCACTATTCACAGAATGTTATTAATATTGCATACCTTTCTAAGCCTCAATGTCCCAGACTACAATAGTGCCCGAATAAGAGCCAGCAAACACATACTGCTCATTATGACTGAAGGTAGTGCTTGTGATCTCAGAGTTGAACCCATTGTATTGCTTTAAGCTGAATTCAATAATAAGTCTATGATTACCAATAGAGGAGCATTCGAAGAGAACGACCATAGATTCAGGAAAGCATTATCATCACCTGTCACTATCAATTGATGAGTAGGCGCTACTGAGGCACACTTGAATTTGTATTACTTTGACGAAAATTCTTTTACTCTTGATACTACAAAGATTATTGAAAACTAATTGAGATCAAGTTACGCTTTTTTCGATTCATTTTATTGAAATATTATATAGTTATTTTAGTCAGAATTAATTCTTATTTTTCATAATGTCATTAATACTAACAAATTAATTTTAGGGGTTTTGGGGTTTTGGGG